CTCTGCTGCAGGAGAGCATGGGAGGAAGGCGACGCTGCTGCAGCAGGGATGTGCCTCCAGAAGTGCCTCCACCCAGCTGACAGAAAAGACAAGAGGAGAGTTTTGGAAGAGAAATTAAGAGAAAGGGGGGGAAAAAAAATGTCCAGCAGGGTTCAGTGCAGTCACGGCGATGGTGCGCGTTGCACTGCTGAGCCACGCAGGGCAGCTCTGCATCAGAGCTCCAGTGGGACCCAGGTGCTCCATCCCTGCTCACCATCCAGCCTTAATGAGGATTTCCGAAGGGTACAGCCTGGACAGTACAGCTCCCGGCTCCCTGGCACGCTACTGACAGTGCGGTGAAGGTCACAGCTGCCTGGGTTTTGCTCCTGTCCCTCCTCTTGAAACACAGGCAGAAGAACCTGGCAGGGCATCAGGCTGGCAGAGCTTGCTCTTGGGACGCGAGCCGTCTGGGTGCTGCTGTCGCTTTGCCTGGGGAAGCAGCACAAGTGTCCACTGTAGCTGCACCCAGCGTCAGGGTGCCACCATTGTTCAGCTGCAGAAGGGAACAGACCCAAGCTCAGCACCCTTTGGGAGAACAGACCCGAGCTCAGCACCCTTGGGGAGCATTTCAGATGCACCCTTCAGGCTTGTACGCTTTCCGGGGTTGAAGTCTGCTCCTCGGAACAGTCATTTGGATAAGCTTTTGGTGTGTCTTCAAAGCGAAAGCCAAACATGATGCAAACGGCCATGGTTTAGTCAAAGCTAGTTGTAAAACCAAAACATCCCAGCAGGTGCCCTCATAGCAGAGAGAGTTAAAACAGGACCCTATCTGCTCTTTTATCATCAGTGTATGGAGACTTGCAAGTTTGCGTGGCCATAGCATCTCCGTAGACTATTCTCCCCACTAGCCCTTTTCCTCTCTATCTACAAGGAATTAAATCCTGAAGGGACATTTCTGATACAACTCCAAACCAGCGTTCTGCCTCCACTTACTCATTCCAGCTCTGCCACAGTCTCAGCTGTGACTGCTTTCCACTTGAGCAAAGCGTTAAATCAAACAAAAAGAAACATGCAACTTTGGCAAGCCTCTGAAGTCCACAGAGGGAAGCCCTGGTGTCACAGCTCTGGGAGAGGGGAGGTTCCTGGGGTTCCCTCTGGTACCCCCAGACAGTTACATTTGCCCATCTGCCCTGCAGAGGGGACTCCAAAGAAGCTCTCCAGAGCCGAGACAGCCCCTTTCTGTAGGCAACCACCACCAGCAAAAGCAAGGTGTGCTGGGGAGAGCAGTGTTTTGATCTTTCAGGCCAGACATTTCTTTACCACGTGCTTTAGACCACAAAGCTTGAACTTGCCAGTGCTGCTGTGCGAAAGCCTGCCTCCCCCAGCTGACCTGGCAGCCTGGCCACGGAGCAGGAGGAGATGCTGCTGGTGTGGAAGCACTGCTGGTCTCCTCAGGTGTTGAGAGAAATAAGTTTTCAATTTCAGAAGGCAGCACAGAGGGAGACAGAATAAAAAGAAAAGGGGGTTTGTGCCCTCTTTACCCACTGTATCCCCGCAGAGCACATCCTTCACTCTTGATTTCCTATGCTGAAACGCTCCTGTGCCTCGCAGTCGGGAAGTCCGCAAGCTCTACCTAGCCCTTCCCAGGAAAAGTCTCTCTGGTTATGGGGGATGCAATGTTTCTTTCTTTTTACTTTGGAGAAACATAAATGCTTTTCCCCCCTCCTGTATGGACCAGAATGAAAGTCCTTTGAGCAGCTTTCTCAGACTTTCTTATCCCTGAGCTATGTACTGAATACCAGAGGGTGAACAGAAGCCAAAGATGGAGAGCAGAGGTATTTCTTGATGTTGCAATTGTCTTTCAGGCGGTGCTCATTCCATTCACATTCATCTTGCACTAGAAGCACACACCATGACAACAAGCAGTGCTCTTATTTAGGGTTATTGCCACCAGCAGAACACAACAGAAAGCCTTTTCTATCTCCCAGGGAGATCTGTTGAGGACATCTGTGAGTCAGCCTGAGTTGGTTTCTCTTTATTTGGAGTCCTCCAGTTAAAACCTCTGTGTGTACTCCTTTTAGCAAACCTCATTTCTTCACGAGGGTAATAACTTGCTCTGTGTTCAGTTCCAGTTGAATTTTGGGCAGCGTGGGAGGGAAGGGGTTGATGACTGCCTTCAAGGAAACCCAGCTGCAAGGAGGTCTTTTCTACCTGGAGGCAAGTGCTAGCTGGGGACTGCCTCCCCTGCTGTTACATGGGCAGTCCTGACCCTTATTTGCAAGGTTTTTGACTGCAACGAGCAAAGCCAGAGGTGATGTGCTGAGTGCTGGTGACCCAGGAGCGGGTACCTGCCAGCCCGAGGGTGGCTCTGGCTGCCTGGGCTCTGGCAACCCACGTTTTACACAGCAGCAGTGAACCAGCTTGGCATGTGCAGTGGGGAAGCTCCTACTGGATTATCCACACCTTTTTTTACAAGGCTTGTCTGCAGATGGCAGTGGCTGGGGAGGACGCAGCTCTTCACCACCCCCATGAGGAGGTGGGAGAGAGGTTTAGATCTGGGTGCCCTCTGAACCACAGCACGCCTTCTGCAGGACCCACGGCCGGGGCAGCTTTACAGGGATAACATCAGACTGTCTTTGGCATCAAGAAAGCTTTCAGTCACCTTTCTGAATCTTTCGGTTCTCACACAGTGAGCACGTTTCCTTAGTACCATATAACAGAAATTATCTTTCTGAAAGTTGAAAGTTTGCAATTTTGGCAGTCATAGCTCCTACTTTCAGTGTGTGGGGAGAATCCAGCCACCAGTCTTTTGATATTTTCCTGAAAAAAAGTGCAGAGTTCTTTACATCTGTTTTTAATGAGGTGGACCGATGAGGCTGCTGGCACTCGTCAGAGAAAAAGGAGAAAAAGGTGACTTTTGATAATCTAGTCCTCTGGCCCTTTGCTATTCCCTAACCTTTAAAACTTTATTTTCAGCAATGTGTCCTGTACCTGTACCCAGCAGTGTATGCTGTAACACCTAACCAGGTATCGGTTCCCTGATTCTTTCCATGGGCGCTTGCCCTGGCCCCCGTGGCTGACGCCACTTGCATAATCCAGCTGATGTTGGAGGCCCACAGTTTGGTATATTGCTATGTAACTGTTTGGGGATGTAACCTTCGCTAGATAAAGCATAACATCCTGACAAATCCTGCCATTGGCAGAAATACCAGAACTAAACTTAGACGAGAACAGTTGCCTGGCAACTCACTACACCAACTAACAAGCAACAGCTCAGACAACCTGGGAGATGCTCTCCACCCCAAAACCCCCATCCAGCTCAGCCTGTACGGAGGCGGCACGACTCTACCTTTCAGGACAAGACGTTTTAACCTCCCTTGGCATCTGCGGCAGGGGGGGGAGCTGCGGGGATGTAACCTTCGCTAGATAAAGCATAACATCCTGACAAATCCTGCCATTGGCAGAAATACCAGAACTAAACTTAGACGAGAACAGTTGCCTGGCAACTCACTACACCAACTAACAAGCAACAGCTCAGACAACCTGGGAGATGCTCTCCACCCCAAAACCCCCATCCAGCTCAGCCTGTACGGAGGCGGCACGACTCTACCTTTCAGGACAAGACGTTTTAACCTCCCTTGGCATCTGCGGCAGGGACAGTACCTGCAGGTGTTTCCAGGACTGTATTCCCACGCGTGGCAGAGGACCTTGGTATTGGTACAGCCCCCAGATGGGCGCGGTGTCTCGGATCCCCGTAATAACGCACCCCACTGCACAGCCTCCTGCCTGATTTCACCCCAGATGAAACTGGGGCTTTGTGTGCCCCGGCGGTGCCTGGAAATGTGCTGCCCGGCATCCCAGTTGTGGGTGCACCCATAATGCAACCCCGAGCATGATGCTGGGGTCAGGGACCAAGAAGGCTCCTTGATTAATGAACATGCCCATGCTTTAAACCCTCAGACTCCTTTGGTCCACTGGAAGCCATGGGCTGCAGAGAGATGTAACACTCAAGATGTTGTTTACAGGCAAAGAGGCAGCACAATATATGTATAGGTAAAGCCAAGAACTTATTGTTAGTGCAATGGCAGCCTCGAGGCTCCAATCATTATCAGTCTAGATCTGCTGGTCGCAGAAAAAAGGAAGAATACTAATGCAGTTAAGATTGTTTTGCACACACAGTTTCTAGTCTTTTTTCTGGCGGTAATCTCACCCTTCCCCTGCTCCTCTGGGTCCTAAGGCCGGTGGTTTCACCCAGGTGGTGGTGGTGGGGTGGGGTGTTAAGGAAAGCTGTCAGCATCTCCAGCCCATCCCCAGGACAAATGCTATGTTCATGCTGATGGGGTTTTTTTGCCTCCCTCTAGGATCTGCTTGGGGTTGGTTTTGTATGTTTTTCTAACACGTTTCTATACCTTCTTCTGTCTTCACTGGTCTGCAGCCTCATGTTACACCCAATTTGCTATGTGTGGTGCCCCTTATGTGTATCAGATACTATTTTTGTTCTGTCTGTTACCGCTAAACCCAGTTTTGCCAGCTCCGGGTCTGCATTTTTTTAACAGTGAGTTGTGCATAGCTGTGGGGGTCCCCAGTGCCATCTTTTACCATCCCCTACCTGCACTCCTCTGCGCTGCATCCTGTGTCCCCACTGCTCAAGGCCCCTGCTATCATAGCAGACTTTTATTCCTATACATTGTACCGCTCTGTCTGAGTCAAAAACATCTTGTTCTGCATAGGATAGGGGGAAGCAAGGAGGTGAGAGCTTTTACAGGCTGGGTATGAAGCTCCTCAGGCACTTCTGTCTCCTGTGCAAGTCTGGTCCTCTGCAAGCCCTTCTGCCCCTCTCAAGTGGTCGCATCCTGCTTCACAATTTCACAAGGCACCGGCAGGACCGGAGCATAGCACATTAATACTTTCTCAGCTCAGCCCCGAAGCTCAGCCCAGGAAGCTTTCCTGCCAAAGTCTGCATGTTCATAGGGTAGGCATGAGCGCTAGAGAAGAGGAAATAATATACATTTAAACCCAAACAGGCTCGGCGTGAAGAACACATTGGTGTTCAATGCAGCTATGAATTAAGGTAAGAGGCAATTATATTTTACCTATAATTTGACAGAGCGGGATGGCAAGAAGTGGTGTCTCACAAACTTAAGAAATCTCTTCACTGTTTAGTGCTTAGAATCTAAATGATATTTAATTTGGGTAAAGATGATGTGGGTAGTGTTTACAAATTGTGAAAGTAGAAAGGGGAACACTTTTATTGATTGAAGTGAACCAGGGAAGAGAAATTTTACTCAGGGACTAATTATTTGTGGCATCCTGTGCAAGAGAAATATTCACCCTGGCTAGAAGTCCTCAAGATTAAACCAAAACGCTTTATGACTAGTGTGCAGCATTAGCCCAGAAGGCCAGATCAAGAAGATACAGCCCTTCTACTCCATGGAGCACTTTTTGTTAGAGGTCTGCAGGGATTTCACAACTCAACAGCATTGCTTGCTTTTAGTTTTGATCAGTGAACCGACATCCCAAACATCACTGACACTGAAAGACAGTCCAACATGGAAAATCTGGTAGAGACAACTGAGAGCGTCTGATGCAGACAGACCAGCTAGAGAATAGCAGAAATTAAAAATAAACTTGAAAACCCAACTTTCTGTATGACCACATTACTTAATTTCTCTGTGACTCAGCTTTCCATAGGAAGGATATTGCACAAAGTAGTCTGCTAGTTTAGGTGAGATATTTGGGTAATGCAGTGGTGGCAGCCCATTAAGTACTTACGTGATATAAACATAGATCCAGAAACAGCGGTTCCCAAAATCTGGCCTGTTGGGGAAAACCCTGTGTGGAGGGTTTTGCACAGCCAGAGGCAGTGAACTCCGTGACAGGATAAAAGACAGAAACTGCAATGAATTTAGAAGGGTTTGGGCAGCGCAGAAAAAGACCAAAAGAGAGAAGACAAGGCTAAAGGAGAACACATAGTAAATTGAGAGTAAATCACAGTGTACATGTGATCTTTCCAGGAATGGGCTGGCAACTCCAGAACTTAAATCTCATCCAGGCACAGTCAAGAAGGGGTAATGCGTGCTGCTCTCTGAAACAATGGAGAAGATGATTTAAGAGATCTCCCATTTCTAGAGATTTCTTAGGGCTGCCAAGGCAATGAGAGCTTATTAATAACAAAAAAGGGGGTCAGGAAGTAAATAGTTGTCATGATGCAGGCGGCGAGAAGACAGAGTAACGGTAAACAAGTACAAACAGTGCACTTAGCTACAAACAGTCATCTGTTTTCACTGTCTCTTCAACAGAAAATACAGAAGAAATCTGAATGCTGCTTAAGAAGGGAAAGCCTGGGGAAAAGAAATACTGAAGAAGAGCAGGTAAGAGAAAACACTGGCAAAATGCTCAGCTATACATGTGAAAAACGATAGAGTGTCACGAGCAACTGTGCAAGCAGAAAGGGCAAATAGGGGAACTAACAGGCTGGAGGAAATACCTGTGAAACAAATTTTCCAAGAAAACCCTGATCCTGGAAATCTCCATGCAGTCAGATGACAACCCCAAACACCCAGTGCCCCGCAGGCAGCTCCTGGGACGGCACCTTGTCCCCCCCCAGCTCTGCCAATGTCCCCGCCAGCAGCTGAGTTAAAAGTGCTCCCCGGCCTCTGCAAGCACAAAAATCAATACTGCTCTTCAACGCTATTGTCACACTATTTCCCTAATTTCCCATCCCCTGGCCTGTCCCTGGGGGAAGGACATTGCCTTGTAACCATCTCAGGTTGCAGAGGCTCTGCAGAGGACCCTTGGATCTGGTCATAGGATTGAGAACGCAAAATCATGACCCCGAGAGCCACGGATGAAAATTTCAGAACCATTTCAGTGATTTTTGAACCTCAATTGTAAGATCCAGGAGAGACGCTGGAGTCTGAATCATACTGTCAGGTCATAGTTCCTAAATGCATCAGGTCCTTTCTGAAACAGGTATTTAAGGCTCCGACCTCCTTAGGGCCAGGTTTCTAAAGGTACTTTGACCACCAGAAGTTCAGACCAATGCCTTGTGGAGTTTTTCAGAAGCCCGTCAGTGCTTAGCTCCCATTCAGAAGAATGATTTGAATCAAGGATGGTAGCCCCAGGAAAATGCCTTGCAGTGATGATCTGCTCAAGAGCCTTGGTCATGCCCTGAAACCTGAGCCTATTCCCTGCTCCATTAAGGAGCAGGTGGGACCTCCAGTGTGCAGGCACCAAGTCTCCTTCATGGCCACCCTGGCAGCCTGAGAGAGGCTTTGTCCTTCAGCTTACAGGTTTTGCTATAAATAGACAGGCAAATGCAGGGGTGAGCTGCCAGGGGTTTGGCAGGGTTTGCTATGGCCCTAGCAAACTACACATGGCTGCAGTGTTGCTGTCCCTCCCGGCCAGCTCACAGCAAGTCTTCCTGACAGGGCGACAAACCCAGCAAGTGGAGAGATGTCGCTGGGGGCAGGATTCAGCCAGGGCATCGGGGTTTGGTCCCCTGTGCCCACTTTGCTGTGACAGTTGCACAACCAGCCCAAGCGAGGCCACTGACCTGGCCAGCTGGACCTTGCACTGATGGAGCAAGAGCAAGGCTTGCTCAAAATAATACCTCTGGTTGCTCAGAAGCACAGGTGGTGAAGCCCTCGCCGCCGGCAGAGACAGTAGTTAAGTCCATGGGTTTGTATTTTCTTTATAAATCAGAGTACACCTGGTTTTGATGTGATGGGTTAAGCTGAAACTTGTGCCCTGGTTACTTGCTACCCTGCAGTTGTCTCCAGGTTAGCATGAAGCATCTTTGAGAAAGTGCTTTCCAATGCTATAAAGCCTTAGGTGAAGGTGAGAGAGATCCTTGGGAATTTTGTACTCTATACTATCCCCTCCTGCCCTCCATGATCCAAGCCTGACCGTTTCAAATGTATTTTTTTACCCAAAAGTATTGGTTTAAGTTTGTAGATTTACATACTGCTCATCTCCAGCTAATGGTGTCTGCTTCTAATTTAGTCTGCGTGTTGGTGTAAAAACCGTAGAACTGGTTCAGAGAAGGGGCATTTTTTTAATATCTTTGACCTAAATGCCTTTGTAAAGGGACCATAGGCCTCTGCAATATTCAGTCTTATATTTATCTTAATCAGCAGTGGTTTGATCGGCTTCTATTTCTGGGTCCTTTATTTAGGGCACCTTAAATGCCCTAATTTTCAGAAAGCCTCAGCATCATGCTTCTGCACTTTGAATTCCACCTCAAGTTGGAAAATCCAATAATGCAGCAGCCCGGATTTCTACCTGCTTTTAAAAAAAATTATTCTCAAAGTCTTGGGGCGATCCTCCATAAATTAAATCACCCAAATCAATAAGCAATTATTAAGCTTGCAGAACTCTGCCGGGCCACAGAAATGGTCCAGCTGATCTGAGAACAAATCAAACAGAAGAAAGACGAAGCACCAAAGAAAGGAATTTCCTCACCTTAAAGTCATCAGGGAAGGGACTGGGGGAGCAAGGAGCAAGCATGCATCTGGGATTACACCACATCCACCCAAAAGCGATGGAGGAATGAAAAAAGATCTGGTTAGAAGTAGGGAAAACGCAGCGTTTAACAGAGGCAGTACAGACCGGCTCTTTGGTAACAATATCCCCATCCCCAAACCAACTCAACCCCAGCAGCTGCTCCGTGCTCTTCACAGGACTCCACTTCCTTCCAGGGGGTCCCATCCTGGGATTTGGGCTAGCTAGTGCACTGGTGAAGTACCTGGGGAGAGGACAGTTTGGCTTTTTCATTCATTTATTACCAACACAGGGTCATGGTTGTTAAAGCGAGTATTCCCCAGCAGCCCGTTTGCTCTGCCTCCCTGCCTGGCAGGGGCTGCAGGGCTTCACCCCGTACCCCACTGCTGAGCTCCTCCACTGTGTCTGGCCGAAACCCGTTCCCCAGACTGATATCTTCTCTTGACGTGGAGACCCTCAGACATGCAAAAATCTCCCTTTTCCTACTTGAAGTCTGTTCTGACCGTTAGCCTTTCACCGTTAAAAATGTGCATCTGATTTCTAGCTTGCATGTTTCTGGTTTCAATTTCCATGCATCAGTTTACAGCATGGCTAATGCCACTAAATTAGTAAGATTATTAACACGAGCAAAAGTGAAATCAAGTGTTATGAAAGTACGCCTACAGCCTCACTATCAAGCTCTGCCATGGCAAAGTCTTCCCTCTTTTGTTCCTGCCCATTTAGCACCTCTTTAAACACCAGAGGGTTGCATCAGCTTTTCTTGCTGTGACATCTGACTGGGAGCTCGGTTTCAGAGTCTACCCATGTCTGCGGTCAGGTTTCCTAGCGGATTCACCCCCACTCTCGAGACAAGGCCTGTGTTGTTTAACTCCCAGGCGTTCGCCTTGGCTACATTAAAGCCAGCGTGAATTATCTGAGAAGCCCCAGATTACTCGGATCTGTCTGAATCACTGTCCAACTCTCTAACTCTTTTATGCTGGCTCTGATTCCCGATCTGCTTTCAGACCAGTGATGAAAGTACTGAAGAGTTTCTGGCTTTCATCTCGTCATTCCTGCAGACCTTTTACAAGCAATATTCCTAGTTTGGTGAGGCTTCACCAACCTTGCAATCTCATCAGATGTCCAAACTAAAGCTTCTCTTCTACAGAGCCATGCAGACTGGCATTAGCTCTTCCCCTTTACTGTTTAAATTTTATTTTGCCCAGGTTGAAGGTGAGGTTACACCAGCTCTTTCGCCTCGCTTCCCACTTTCAAAGGTCGGCATTGTGTCATCTGCTTCCAGCACCTGTAGAGGTGGACCGGGGAGAACGTCCACTTCAGGACTAAATAAAAGACTGAGATTTAAGATTTAAGGTGACTGCATCTGCTGGGCTGGGCCTGCTTTTGACCCCGGCTATCTAACACAATCCCGAGCAACTCCAGAGACCATCCCCTTAGAAGGGAGGCACCCTGCTCTGAGAGATAAACTCAGTGACTTACAGGAACCAGTTGGCTGTAGGACTAGAAACTGGGCCCTATCTCTGGTTAGTGTATTGCCCATAAGTCTAAGTTTTCTCATCCAAGCTGTGGATAGAGGTGTCTAGAGCAGTCTGGTGATTGCGTGGTTGCTGCTTGGTGCCAGGATGGTTAAGACTTTCACCCATAATGCTATTAAGACTTGCATCTCTCTTGCCACTTTCCACACAGTTCTGGTTAATTGCCTTAAACCTCTTTTTTTTTTGTTTGTGCGTGTGTTAGAAGTGCCACCAGCAGCTACAACATCTCATTTGGAGTGCCCAAGGACATTCCTACGCTCTTGCTGAGAATCACTGGCCGGCAAGAAGCAGATGGGTGTAGTCGCAAATGCACAAAAGCAAGGGTATTTGTGTTTGGGTAGGGTGGTGGCAGCTCAAATCTGATGGTGAGAAAGGCATATGTTCCTCTATGGTTTCACAGGAGTTCCCACAAAGCCTAGAGCTTCCCTGGGCCAGCTGAATCATCAGAGTGCAGCTCTGTCCCATTCAGCATGAGCCGAAAACATGCTTTGCTTGCATGAGAAGAGCAAGTCAGCCTCACCTAGAAATGCTGACTAAGGTGTGAAAATCTTTCTGAGTACTTTCTAAATACTTTTATCAGCCTATTGTGCAAATCTGAAGCGTGACCTTCTGGCAGAGGTCTGCGTTTGGTTATCTTTTTTTTTCCACTTTTTTTCACTCAGTGACATCAGAGGCATCACGGAGAGGCGAAGTGCTCACAGACCCCTCTTCTTGGCAGTAAAGCTTGTAACGTGGCACTTGGCCAAAGCGCCAGAGTTGACGACTGGGAAGATCAGATGCATAAACAGGATTTGGTTTTTGTGTCACCCAGCCTGATGCCAGTGCTGTTTGAAGGTTGAAATGCAACTTCTGTTACTTAGAGGAGTTTGTGGATCTCTCATAATTTCACTTCCCTATGTGTTACATATAGCGCACATGGTTGTTGGGAATAGCTGGGTTGAGAAACAGGGGTTGTGGTCCTGCAGACTCTTTTCTTTGAGATAGCTATAAACGTGATTGAAAGCAGAAGTTTCTGTGGAGACTAGGGTGTAAAACTGCTGGGGAAATTTGGAGAGAGAGCAAAGTGGTTGAACAGTTCCATGAGAAGCAGAAATGAATCTACTATTTCCTATACTCAGCAAGGGAAAATGTCTGGTGGAGGAACCTCGCAGTCCTGAAATCCTTCTTCAGCATCCTCTATGCTCTTCGGTTCACTTCATCCCTTAGGCGAACATACATCGTAAGCACAAGAGAAGAAATTGGGTTGAAGCTGGCAGTGAGAAGACTACAGCCTGTGCTGCGGCGGGCTTTGTGAGGCTGATGGAGAACTCCTAGCAGGGAAGGATGGAGGATGGGCATAGCTAAGTTTCCTCACTTAGGGTGCAATAAATTTTCATCACGTTATGCTTATCTGGCATGGGCTGGGTTTATGGGAGCCCTCTGGAGTTTGCAGCCCAGCTGTTGAGTAAGGTCAGCTTAAACTGAGCAAAGTGGTACCAGAGGAGCTAAACAGTCAAAAAGAACTGAGGGCATTGCCTATGCAGGATGGGTGGCGGTGGGAGGATGCAAGTGTGTGGCTGGTGATATACAAAATTCGGGAGCTATAAAGTGAACAAGCCACAGACTGTGCCATCAGGTTCATGTGCCAATGTCATTTTGGGAAGTGCAGTTCTCGCTTGCCCCTGGACATGCTATGCAGCACCTCGCCCTTCCTGTTGGCATAGGTGCCACGGGCTTCGCAACCACCCATCCAAGGGTAAAGGAAATAATTTGCTACGGTAGAAATTAATGATCCCCATCAGTGGGCTAGAGGAGATTATCTGACTGAAAAGGCACTTCACGAAAAATCCCACCCCAAGTGATGTTCCTCTGTACTTCAATAAGGCCAGGAGTTCATCCTGGACCTCCATGTCAATGTTCTCCTGTGAGGAAGGTGGCCATTCCCACGCCCAGCTTTCTCTCCAGGCAACGCCAGTGGGTGCAGCCGCTGCAGAAGCCTGCCAGACCTGAGGGCAACCCCGTGGTGGCAGCTGCATCTCCTTACACATGTGAAAGCCTCCCTGCACTCAACAGAGCGCAGTGGCTTGTAGGGACACATATGGAAACTCTCCAGAGGAGCAACCTCCCTTTCTAGGCATGAATTAAGGGAGCGAACATGGGAAATATTTAACCTGGAAAAAAGGAGGCTGAGGGGACACCTTATTGCCCTCTACAGCTGCCTGAAAGGAGGTTGTAGTCAGGTGAGTGTTGGTCTTTTCTCCCAGGTAATGGGCATTAGGATGAGTGGAAATGGCCTCAAGGTGTGCCAGGGCAGGTTTAGATTGGACATTAGGAAAAATTTCTTCACTGAAAGGGTTGTCAAGCACTGGAACAGGCTGCCCAGGGAAGTGGTCGAGTTCCCATTCCTGGAGGTATTTAGAAGACGGGTAGATGAGGTGCTTAGGGTCATGGTTTAGTGGTGGGATGGCAGTGCTAGGCTAACGGTTGGACTTGATGTTCTTAAGGGTCTTTTCCAACCTAAATGATTCTAGGATTCTATGAAAGAACAGCACAGCTAGAGGCTCTCATAGAGGTGTGCACTCCCTCTCTCCAGATCAGGGATTTCCCACAGCACACACAGTCTAGGCAAGCACCACCGAGCAGCCCTCTTTGGATGCCTGCGCACTTAGCAAAGATGCTAATGGGATACAAGCAGGCATCAATCAGCTTTTTCCTCTGTGCATGATGGGACTTCTGCTTGTCACACCAGGAAAGACATGTCTGAAACAGGAGCTTACGTGGCAGAGAAGCAGCTGGGGCACTTTGCAGAGACGTTGTGGCCTCTGCCCGGTTTTGTCACAGAGTTGCAAAGTTAGGATGGGACTTCCGGAGGTCTCTTGTCCAAACCCATGCTCAGAACAGGGCTGGCCGAGTTTCAAGCACCTCCAGGGATGGAGATCCCACAACCTCCCTGAAGCCCTGTCCTGGTGTTTGACCACCCTCACGGTGAATTTTTTTTTCATATAGTGAGTAACATTTCCCTTGGCCATTGCCTCTTATTCCTCTGAGGAAAGTTGTCTGCTTCACCTTTACACCTTCTCACTAGATACCTCTTGAGATGTCTCTTGAGGCTGATCAAACCCCATTCTCAGCATCTTCTCATACACCAGGTGCTCCAGCCCCAATCATTTTGGTAGCCCTCAGCTACCACACACCGGTTCATCTGTAAAGAACCAGCTGTGGAGCACATCAGCCCACAGAGTAAGATAGAAGCTCTGCTCTGGTGCTGTGCAAATGGCTGCAATAACAGCTCCGTGGCAAGGAGCTGGGTGGGCTGGTGTAGCGACTCATATTTGGCACAAGAGAGTTGGTGCACCCCAACACTTATTTTCATTTTAAAGGCATATGCTGCACACATTTAGTCTCAGAAGAGGAGAAAGAAAACATCAGGCAGGAAGGCAGAAAATGATGGGCTATGGGGATTACATATGATGTCTCCTGCTCATTTCTGTACCTCTCAACAGGGTAGATAAAGTAATGACTGGACAGACACATGAAGAGATGAGGAACCTGCCACATATCTCTGTAGGCAACTCTAATTAACTCACTAGTAGAAAATCAGTATTTTGTTTGCGGTTGCTGTCAGCTTCTGCACCAACACCTAGGCATTTCTTACTCATCCCCTTTAATTCTGCTGGTGTCAGATAACACATCTCTACAAGCTGAGAACTGAACTGGTCTGCAAGCAAGGGGCTGGACAGACTCTGCAGTGGAAAGACACTGCAAGAGCTGCTCAGCCCATGGGTGTGCCTGTCTGCCACAAACAGCCTTCCCCGTGCTGTGCCCATGCCCTGAAACTGCCAGCGCTAAGACAGCCCTTATCTAGCCCACTTTTCCTGTGCAAAACCACAAAGATAGTTTTCTAATGATTGTGGCACATCTCTAAATGTTTTGGGGACAGCTAGGCTTTGAACTTTCAGAATAAGCAGGTATTTTAAAATGGAGAGCCTGCATTTCCAACCAGCACAAGAAAACCTCTTTGAGAAATGTCTACAAAATAAGAGGCCAGATCTTCATGGCCCACACCACCAACGGCACTCTGGTAATGAGGCATTAGGAGAAAATGTCGATATGGTCACAGCAGCCAGCCATGGGGGAGTTTGTTGTAGTTACCATTACATCATATGAAACTTCTTGGGCAAGGACTGTCTGTCTCATACTTCAGGACATCTTTATTTCATGCTTAGTCTTGCAAGGTTTATTTTAAACAGAGGCTTTAAAAACTATTGCTAGCAGTGAAACGTGGACATGTAGGGCGGGATTCCAACCACTTTGCTCTAAGTGTCAGGATTGGGAGTAGTTCTACACCATCGGTGTCTACCACTGCCCACACTCTCCTTATATTCAAAAGGGGGTTCATCAACATGGTTAGCGGAGTCTGGAAAGCAGTCTGTCTTGTCTTAAAGCAAATTTGGCCTGACCTGCACTGGATCAGATGCTCTGCTCTTTATTGTCTGTATTGACTACATCTCATGCCACTAACAGGAGATGTAAACATTTGCATTAGAGGCAGCTTATGGACACTCAACCGAGCCCCATCTTTACTGGTGTGTGTGACAAGTTTAATGGGCGTTCCTGTAAGAACATTGTGAGACTGTGACCAAGGCATAGTTATTAGTTGTGGTTTTGTTATCACTGATGTCTCAGTCTCAGCTTTAACAGGTTGGTTTGGCCGTGTTGTCATCTCCCTGGGCTTCTGCACAGTGTGTCACATTCAATTTCCTTCATTTCCTACAGTGAGAGCAAGTAACAGGTACTTACAAGTTCTTTACCCCATCAGGGAGCAGACTGAATGCAGTAACATCTGCGCCTCTCTAGGATTTTTGGTTCCCTGCAAACAGAAGTCTTTGCGGAGACTTGAACACCCAAGGGAGCACAGAGAAACCAACAAGTGCCCTGAGTTATTGGATGTGCAGAACAGCGAGCCCAGAGGTCACACACCTGCACCCCATACTCTCTCTGGGTGCAGCCTCCAAGCTAACAAGCCCTGCCTCCACCCTGACTACCTGGCAGCCAGGGCACGAGCAGTCACCAGACACTTTGGCGCTTGAGGAAAAGGGTCAATACAGTTTTTCTTCTTTTGATCATAGGATGATTTTTTAAGGAAACCTCATCAAAGAGATGCTCGCTTCCAAGGGATGTCCCCGTGCAAACTTTGCTCCCATCACATCAGCCAGCACCAGCTCAGATCTGGCCAAACCGGGTATCTTACCACACTTCCACCCTGAGGTTAACCTGTGGGGTGAGACTGGGCTCCTGGTGGTGTTGACAGGCACCGTGTGATGATCAACAGCTACACATGGGGTATCGGT